CAGCGCTGATCATTCAAAACGTGCTTTCAAATTCACTGCACGTGCATCTCGAACGACAACCAGCCTCGTTCGCTCTGTGTTCAACAACGCACGACTGACGCGGCATTCACCTCCATTAGAGTCGCCGAAGACGCCTTCGGACAGGACAGAGGTGCGTCACATCCGCGTGCTGCTCCCCCCTCCCCCCCGCGGATGGGCATGACTACCGATGTCATCGATTAGCCCCTCCCCCCATCCTCCGGAAGGGGATCATTGTCGGCCGGGAGGCGGGGCGTATGGGAACCGCTGGTTCGTGATGAACGAGTCCACTGATGAATGGGACAGTCTGTGCACGGCCCGTGTACGACGGCCGCCGCTAAGGACATAATTTCGCCCACGCAGGGTGTCTTTGTACAGTAATTGATCGTGACACTTCGTCGTGATTGTCCATATGACCAAGTGACATGCAAAAGTGTTATTGTGTGGTTGGCACTTGGCTGATGTTGGCACTTGGCTTGGGAAGTCATGCCGAAGGAGTCGGTATGAATGTCCAAAAACGCAATTGATAGGTGTGGTCGTGGGCACGTTGGGCACAGGTACCGTTCTAGTTAAAGGAAATAGTTCACTTTTAACATGGGGTTTTGAACTGAAATAGCAGTCTTGTAGCCTGCGCTGAGACTAGCACAAATCATAAGCTTTTAGGGCCCAACGATCACCCTAAGCAAAAATATTCAATTTCCCGTTCCAAAAAGAGTGTCTTAGGCACGAATGTGGTGTCTTAGAGAGGAATGCAGTCACGTCATCGTCAGCCAATCAGCATGCTGCTTACAGCCAATGCAGCATGCGTAGGTTTGAACTACGCAATGTGATTGGTCAACGCGTAATAAGCTTCCGCGTCAAAACATCATTTTACATAAAATATAGTTCTTCCTATAATAGAATATAGAAAATAATTGTTTTTACAGAAAGGTTTTATTTTATTTTCTGATCATTTTGAGCATAAAAAAAATCATAAATCCATAGCAAAATACTAATTTCAGGAAAGTGAACCATTTCCTTTAATCAGTATTGGAAGATAGATGCGTTCACGATGGTCCACGTCTTTATATGATTCCCAAAAATATCATGCAACGCACCCATTTGCATTTACGCAGGCCTATGCAAATAAATGTTGTTTGAGCTTTAAATATTTCACCTGTTGCTCTTTTTCAATGCATACAATATGTATTTGGTACTTGCAGAGTTGTTTGTGTATAACATTTGTGAATGAGACCCGAACCCCCTGTTTATCCCGTCGCAGGGTCTGGTGTCGCCAGCACAACAGTCACTCCCGTGTCTCAGAGCTGCTCGACAGCCTGCTCAGAGGCTACGACAACAGCATGAGGCCCGACATGGGAGGTGAGGAACGCGACAGCACGCTGATGAGAGAGAGAGAGAGAGAGAGAGAGAGAGAGAGAGAGAGAGAGAGAGAGAGAGAGAGAGAGAGAGAGAGAGAGAGAGAGAGAGAGAGAGAGAGAGAGAGAGAGAGAGAGAGAGAGAGAGAGAGAGAGAGAGAGAGAGAGAGAGAGAGAGAGAGAGAGAAAGAGAGAGAAGGAAGAGCGAAAAGAGAGGAGAGCCTGAGAGATAGAGAGGGACGGGGCAAGGATATAGGTATTTTCTCACAACCTCACAAGAAGACGCACATTCCAGTTAAATGTGCTTTGATTATTGGCGAGCCTAGAGGCGGAGCCCATTTCACACCAAAAACAAAATTAATTATCCCATTACATAGATGAATCACCTGCATCGCCCCTTCCTATCCCTCTACCGGAAGTGAGCACAAAGAAAAACGAGCAGCCGCCTTTATTGGCCCGTCTTCTTCCATTTGGAGATTTTCCTCAGATCACGTAACTGTAATCTGACGGTAACGTAAATGGATTCGGCACCGGCGCCCACTGGGTGGTGGTGCTGTCACCGTGCGCCCCCCGGGCTACGGCTTGGTGAGTGATTGCGGTTCCACGTGCCTTTATCAACGCTCACCCCTCCCGGGTCCAGCGCGCAACAACGAGAGACCGTGTCAACGCAATTTGTCAAAGAAATATCAGCTACACTGGCTTGAGGAAACAATTCCGAATTTGTTAGCACGCAGTGATTTGAATTAACCGTTTCTTTCATTGTTATTTTGTTCAGGTAGGTAGATTACGTTCAGGTACATGTTTGATTATTTCGTTTATCTCCGAAACGATGCGTGATATATCGAAGGACAATGTAGCTACTTCCGGTCTTTCAATCCGACTGTTTTTCTCTACCTCCCTTCAGTTTCATAACTCCATTTCGCCGTCTTCATTGTCAGGCATAAGGTGGAATTGCTTTGGTGTCTGTATGCTAGAATTATAATGACATTTGGTCAGCTAGTGACTTAGTTTATCGTGTACCTGTTCAAATAATACGCGATACTTATCTATGTTCCATGTATGCATGCACCTATGCAATATGCATGTGAAACGGTTGATAACCTAGTCTGATAGTTGTATGACGGTGAAACAATAACCGGTTTTGCTGGATAGCTGTCAGCATTGAAACTTTGAAACTTTTCTCTAGCATTTCTAATCATATTTTGTAAAAATATGAAACTAAAAGCTGTCCTGAAAACTGTTGGAGTTTACGTGGGCAATGGATAAACGTTGAATGGTGCCTGATTTCCTTCCTCGTTACAGGGCCACCCACTACAGTCGAGGTGGATATCCAGCTAAAGAGTATGGGACCGATCTCTGAGACGGATCTGGTAAGTCCACCAGCCGTTTTAGTCAAGTACCTTATCACCAAGGTTCAGGGAGGCCGGGTTGACAGCGCCTGTTACAGAAATAAGAGCGGAATAGGAAGTATAAACGTACACAAGCACCTTTCTTTGGGAATAGCGATATACAAGGCTCAAGAGAACAAATATTTCCAGCCGTGTTCTTAGCAGCCTCAAATCAAATCATTGTCTTCCCTCGTAAACGTAAATTGCCATCAGTGATTTTTTTCTCTATGAGGCATTCAATACTGCAACTGCATTTCTTAAACATAAAATAGTATGAATATAGTTGGTGCTATCGCTCCGTGCCCTTATACTTATGCTCTACAGTAGGCCGGCAGAGCTCAAAATATTGCCACCGTAACATTTTATTAGCACATTGTGAACCGCAGTTCCATTTCAAACTTTACTTTGTAGTAAAATGTACAACATTTTATCAGATATGCCGACACCTATTCCTTCTTATAAGAGGATACTACATATGAAGTCTTAGAAACTGGACACAATGCCGTGCACATTGCAGGAATGTACTTACCTTACATTCCCTAATGCTTTGGTCAGATTGAATGTCTGTACGTTATCCGTCATTTTGTTGTTCTTGTTATTTTTGTAGCTTCAAAGTGATCTATTGCAAACGGGGCTTTGGATTCTGTCGGAGCTGGGGTAGATAGTTTCTTGTCATTCGCTTAGGTAACTTTTTACAATCTTAGACGGACTTATAGGTAAATGAGATGGCTGAAGTCCGAGCTGGAGTCGGAGTTGAATCAGAGTTGGAGTTGAAGATGGAATCGGATTCGGAATAAGTTTTAATAAAAGGCTGTAGCCGGATTCAAAGTCAAAGAAAAACCGCCGACTCCACAGATCCGATCGCTAGTGTGATCACTATATCAATGCAAATATCATAATCTCATTATCCGCTTTCTCTATTCAATACGCGACCTGCTGGCCGTGATAACGGAATCGTGCGACTTATTCACTCAACCGTTTGTGTTTTTTTTTTATTAACTGGTATTGGGTCCCGCTTTATGAAATGTTCGGACGTTCCTTAGCATATGATCGGATTAGTGGATTCTTCGTTGCGTAAGGCCAACTTCTAAATAAATGGTAATGCATTTGGTTTGCTTTTATTATTATTTTGTGACGTCTACTCTACATTTGGTAATTTTGTGGTACTAATTATATTTAAGAAACTTGTCATGGTTTCTCAAAAGCCATTCAATGGATCAGGATTACACAACCGAACAGAGCAAGCACACTCCATTAGGTATAACTGACTATAAGTTTAAAACGTCTCTGGTCGACTCCTGCAGAGGAGTTTACAGAGACGTCTGGAAATGGCTCTGGTAATAAAAACATTTTGTGTAAGGTCTTAAATAAAAGGTTTCAATATTTCACAAGAATGGCAATTTCCCATAGTGATTTGCGTCATCCCTCCCTCACCCAACCTCCCCTGCCGGCCTCCCTGGATCCGCCCCTGACGGTGCCCCGCCCGAGGCACTGAGATGTCAGCTGCGGGCGCGACCCGCGGTCGCCGCGCCCGGCCGGCCGGTCTTTGGGCGGCGACCGTCGTGACCTCGGGTCGCGCGGCTGCCGGCCGGCGGGCGAGCAAGTGGCGAGCGGTGACACTCACCTGTGGAATCAGTGACTGAACCAGTGCAGTGAGGCTACGAGGCTAATTTTCTATCGGTGCGCGCTGCGGCAGTGACCGGAGCGATGGCCTCCAATTGGCCACACGACGGGAACGACCCGCCGGAGGAGCCGGAGCCGGTCGAGAATCTGGTGCGCCGGTTCGAGGAGGCCCTCCAGGAGCCGAACGAGTCTCTGGAGGCGTTCATGACGCGTCTCCAGGCGCTGGCCATGGCCGCCTTCTCCGACGAGCTGGCCCGCTCTCGGCGCCGGCGCGTGCTGTGGCGCTTCATCGCCGGCCTCTGGGACCACGACCTGTCTGAGCGACTCAAGGAGTTCCGCTGGCGCGAGCACCACCCGTCGGGCCGGCCGGTGACCTGCGAGCAGCTGCTGCGGATCGCCTCCTCCATCCGGTACAGCCGGCCCGGAATGTCCTACGGCGGCCTCTCCGGCTGGCGGCCCCAGGCGGTACTCTACCACTGCCCGAGGGTAGGCGAGGAAAGGGCCAGGGTGCGGCTCGGCCAGGCTGAACCGCTGCCGACCATGCCCGGTAACCTGCGGGACGAGCCGGCAGAGTCCGACTCGGGGGAGAGCTACTGGTCTCCAGTTGCGCCGAGACCGGCCGCCGGCCAGCCGCCGACGGGACAGCTCGCTGTACCGCCCTCGGCCGACGGAGCCGGCCCGTCGGGAGTCCGTGCGGCGCATCGAGAGCACCTGCAGCACTCCGGGCGGCCGGGGGAGCACGCCGGACCTAACGGGGTGAGCGGTCGGGCGGCGCGAGCTCCCGACAACCAGGCAGCCGGGCCGTCCTGCGGTGTCGAGGGCCCGATCCCAGTGCCTCCGGCGCGCCGTCTAGCTGCTGTGTCCCCTCACTATGAGACCATTACCGTCACCGACGCGTCCCACAACTCGCTGCCGACTGGTGGCGAAGATGACCCCGATCAGGAGATCGATGTGACAGGTGAGGACAGCCCCGAACAGAAGCCGGTCGAGCCCGACTCGACACAGCCCCAGCCGCCGACCCCGACGGCCCGGCAGCAGCAGCAGGTCCGGCCTCGGCAGCAGCTGTCGGTCCGGTTTCAGCGCGATCAGCAGCAGGGACAGTCTCGGCAGCAAATGCAGCAGCAGGCCCTGGCTCAGCAGCAGCAGTTGGTTCGGGCTCATCTGCAGCAGCATCTGATCCGGTCTCAGCAGCAACAGGCCCGGTTACAGCAGCAGCAGCAGCAACAGCAGCAGCAGCAAATGCGGTTTCAGCACCATCAACAGCAGCATTGCCGACCTCAGCATCAGCAGCAGCTGTCTCAGCAGCCAGGCAGGTTTCAGCATCATCAGCAGCAGGACCTGTCTCGTCAGCAGGAGCAGCAGCAGGTCCAAACACAACAGCAACAGATGGACCGGTCTCATCAGCATCATCATCAGCAGCAGCAGCTGGTTCGGTCTCAGCAGCCGCCACTCCGACCTCAGCAACAGGAGCAGGTCCGAACACAGCCCCTGCCGCCGGCTGCCATTCTCCAGCGGTCACAGCAGCAGCAGCAGCAGCAGTCGCAGGGCCAGTCTCAGCAACCGCTTCAGCCGCCGGAGGCGTCTCAGCGTCCTTCTCAGGCTAGCAGAGACCCTGATCAGCAACTGCGGATGAGGACGGAGCCAGTGTCACCGATACCGCTGGACGACGACTTGTCGGCCGCATACCTGGGCGCTTCGAGTCTCATCAACTCTGCGATCATTCGACATGTCCTGGAGTACCGAGAGGAGCAGCTCCAGCAGCTCCAGGAGGCCGAGGGGCTGATGGCGCGCAGCTCCAGGGCGGCCCCGGACCGCCCCCGGTCGCCCCCGGTGCGCTCTCGGTCTCCGATCGCTCGGCATGACTCGCTGCGAGTGGAACACTCCAGCCCAGAGATCCGCGGCCGGCGGCGCGCGGGGAATGACAGCGAACGGACTCGGGAGGCTTCGGGCGAAACTCCGATGGACCTGTCCAGCGGTCATAGTCAGGCCGGAGGATCAACGCAGCCGTCTGAAGCCCAAGGTCCGTCATCCTCCCGCTCTGCTACTCTCTCACAGCTTCCGAGGCCACAGGCAACTATTCTCCAGGCACGCCCTCTGCCTCAGACACGGGGCCATGCTTCAGTTTTTCGAAATCCAGTCTTAGTTTCTCACCATCTCTCTCCAGTTCCTGATAACTCCAATATGCTTAGTAGGAGAACTACCTCTCCTGCTAGAACCAGCAGCCTGCAGACCCACCAGCAGTCAGCAATGGCGTCTCATCACAATCCTATACCAGCCCGTAGATCTAGCCAACCTCCTGTCAGGCAAATGTCAGCCCATCCGCCAGCCCCAAACCAGCTGCCAACCAGGAACCAGCCACCGCTCTCGGAGCGGCCCTCAGCCCCACGTCCGATGCTAGTTCTACAGCAGCTGCAAGCCGCACTCCAGCCGCCGGTCCCGGACCAGAGACTACCAGTCACGGATCAGTCGCCGGTCCCGGTCCCACCACCAGTACAAGACCAGCAGCCAGCCAAGGACCAGTCTCCAGCTAAGGACCAGTCTCCAGCTAAAAACCAGTCTCCAGCTAAGGACCAGCCACCAGTCAAGGACCAGCCACCAGCCAAGGACCAGCCGCCAGTCAAGGATGAGTCGCCAGCTCAGGAACAGCCGGCAACCACGAACCAGCCACCAGCCCAGCAACAGCCAGCTGCTTCAGGCCCGGCCCATCTTCAGACTTCTGAGCAGCAACGCCAGTCTGCAGTACCTACCGCGACTCGCTCCCAGGCTTCTGCTGCGGCTGCAGCTGGTCCTTCCCAGCCACCTGCACGGTACCAGGACCAGCCACGCGCGTCCGGCTCGGCCCCGCGTCGCCCAGTTCCGGACCAGGCCCTGTTCTCCCAGTATGCCTCCCTGTCGTCTGTAGGCCGGGCGGTGGGACTGCCCCCGCTGCTGCGTCACCCGTTCTCCCAGCACCCGGACGCTCTCTCCATAGACCCGGCACTGGTCGAGGGTCGTTTTCCGGCGCCGCTCTCGCCTCTCTCCCCGGTCGCCCAGGGGGTGATGCCGTCGCCACAGACGCTCCGTCAGGTGGCGTCCGGACGTCCGCCACCATCGGCCGCCTCTCCCGGAGCGTTCTCTGTGTTCCGGAGCTCGAGTCCGACGCCCAGTCGTCCGTCACCGCTGCTCCAGACCCTGGGCCTGTCGCCGCGTGGTGGAGGAGCCGGACAGCGACCCACGCTGCGTCACCAGCGCTCGGCCTCTCACGAGCCGGCCTCTCAGCTCATCCACCTCCCGAGCCCGTCCCAGCCGTCACACTCTACTGAAGCTGCGCATCCTCGGCAGGCTCAGGGAACGATCCCGGGAACTGCGTCTGCACCGGGCGGCGCGGACCCGCGGCCGGCGTCTGCCGAAGAGTCGGCCGGGCCAGCACCGACTCTGGGCGACTACGAGTCTGACTCGTCCAGCCGCAGTCGGCGGAGACTCTCCCGTAGCCGGAGGGACCGGCGCCGCCAGCAGCGTCTGGCCAGAGACGAGAAACTCCGGCGGATTGCCGGCAACGGGGCTGATCGGGAGGACGGCGCCGCCCCGGCGGCCGCAGCCCCCGACGCGTGGATGGACTACAGGCGAGACGCTGACAGCGATTAACGGATGACTCTATGCATTCCGACGTGCTTTGGATTTGGACATGTTATGACGACCATTGTAGTGCTTTTTTATCACTGTTGATAACAATATCTGGCGTCTTTTGCCTCTGTCTTTTAATCACTCGACGTTTCAGTAGCTAACTGCATCTGTTTTCTACCGGTCATGTAGATATCATAGACTGCTATTACTTTTTTATTAGATGTGTAGATTTTACATCACGCTAAATCGGCAATAACTTGTTTTGCATCTTTTGGAATAAATGTGACCAAGAATATTAATTGCGTGTTCTTCTTGAGTGGATTTGAAATGATCTCAGACGATCTGGAATGGTGCTGCATATCGGACAAATAATCAGGTAAAATTATTGACTGGTATATTGCTTTTTACTCTTCTTTTTTTTTGCATACACTGGCAACCACACAGAAACGAACGAAACGATAACACACAGCTGATGCGCTGTACGATGCCGCACACGACCGATCAATCATTCGCATTCTCCGGGTCCCAGGGGACACGGAGCCCAGACACCCGGGCAGACTTCGCCGATCGCGCAGCTCGGATTAGAAGACTTAGACTACCGAGCAGACACTAAAGGGTACATGTTTACGATATAAACAACAGGCGACTGTTAACCCGCGCCCTGATGGGGGGGGGGCCATTTTGGCCCCCCCCTGTGGTTTTTCTTAAATAGCGAGAAAACGGCGGCGCGCAGCGCCGCCAAATTTTGGGTACCTTACCGGGCATCAATTTGACACCTTCACACAAAATTTCAAGTCACAGGTCACCTCAGGTCAGGAGTTATTGAGGTCAAACTGAGGTCATGTTCGAGCAAAAATGAGCAAAAAACATGACATCTTGAAACGCTCACCAATTCTACAGTTAACAAGCAATTTTAAAGTTCTTTATGTGGTTGTGTAGAGAAAAGACGGCGCTACAAAACTGCTATCTCGGATTTTCGAAATTTTGGGATTTTGACCCCCAAAAATCAAAAAAATTGATTTTTTTAGAAAAACTCAAAAAATTTCCAAAAATTTTTCGAATTTCGAAAAAACCGGAATATATGTGATAGTCCCTGCGCTCTTCGATATACATACCAAATTTTAGATCGATACCTCTTTTTTTGGCCAAGTTATAGGGAAAAAACTGTTAAAAATTGATGACGTCAAATTTTTGAACTCAATTTTTAGCAGTTCTAGACCTCGTAGCGCAAAACGGAGACCACCATTGAACTCCCCGTGACGAGCTGCCGAATCGATACCCATTTTATGCAAAAATATCAACTTTGAAATTTGACCTAATTTGACCTGACCTTGACCTGACCTTGACCTGACCTTGACCAAAACGTGACCTAAGCTGGCCCTAAAGTCTGTCTGACCCACATAATCGCATTTGTCATGTAAAATGGACCATAAAACATGTATCACACGACACTTTCATATTGTGACCCCCCAGTGACCTGACCTCTGTGACCTGACCTGGTATCAGTGACCTCAAATAGCAAAATATGTGTTTGAAGAGCATTTCTCCATCGATGATTTTCAATGAAATGCATTTTACTCGATTTTACAACGCATTTCTTGAAATGCCTGTAAACGGTGAAAATTCGACCTTTGACCTGACCTGTGACGTCATCGGTTTGACCGAGGTCAATGAAATTGGGTCACAAGGTAGTTCCCCGCTGGGGCTATCCAACACCGTTTACCGCTTGTCGCTATGTTGCGTGGTTCTCGAGATCTGAGGGGGGGCCAAAATGGCCCCCCCCCATCAGACCGCGTTGCTCGGCAGACCCCATCTGGGCGCGGGTTAAACGAGAGAACGTGCTAAATAAAATACGGCGTGTTGAATAATTGTTCAATAGAAATGGACTATCTGTGAAGTATAAAACCTGTAATATACATAGAATGCTGTATTAGAGAGTAGGCTAACCCGGCGGCCGCTGGGCCTCCGCGCCACCCGCCGGCCGCTGGGGGGGCATATAGTTGCCCCCCCTTTACTTCCGCGACGATATCGTCGCAACGCGAAGAGATAGAGAAGCGAAACTTTGCACACGTCTTTCTGAATACCTAGCCGAGGTTGTGTCCAAATTTAGTGTCGATCCCATTTGAAATGACGTCACAGTGACGTCATAAGTCAAATTATAGATTTGCGACTCTCAGTTTCCTCACGATATATCAGATATATGGGACCGAATATAAAGAGCCGATTATTGGTCAGGAACTAGATGGAAGTGTGCTTAGATGTTTTAGGATGACAGCAGGTGCTGTCTAGTTCATTTACAGTTGAGTTTTATGCTCAGCGTCATCAGAAACGGTCCATATCGGAAAACGACAAAACTTTATGACGTCACTGTGACGTCATCTTTGGTGCTACAACCACCAAACTTTCTCCAAACATTGCCTAGGTATTCATTTGAAGCTATGCCAAGTTTCACGTTCGTAGCTCATCAGGTTTCGGAGATATTCCACAAAACGTAAAGGGGGGGCAACTTTATGCCCCCCCCCCCCAGCGGCTCGTGGGCTAATATAAGTTGGTACCCATTAGGACGGTTCTGTCCCATGCAGTGGGACGGTCTCCGCCGTTCCGGTGCAGCGTCGGTGATCCGCACAATCCAATATCTGAACCCTATCCTATCATCGCATAGGCTCCGCGATTGCCTTTTCAAGCCGTAAGAGCTCTAAAAAGCTCACTTGTCGCCTGTCTGGCGGTCATTTTCAGACCTACTCGATGAACTGCTACTTTCGTCAGTCGTGGGTGGACCAGCGGCTGGCGTTCGAGGACCTCGAGCTGGACGTGCTCAGCCTCAGTGTGTCGACCCTGGAGCGTATCTGGAAACCGGATACGTTCTTCTTCAACGGCCGCCGCAGTCGGCTGCACAAGATCACCACGCCCAACAAGTTTGTCCGACTGTACCGGACCGGAAAGGTGCTCTACTCGGCCAGGTAGGGGGCCGGCTGGAGGGAGGTAGCGGGGGGGGGGGGCAAAGGGCTTGTGGAGATTGATGATACAAATCTCTGATATAAACGCAATTCTTATGCAGGAGTGTAGAGTAATAAAAAATGTCTGGGGTACGACAAGTTCGGTAGTTAATTCTCGAAGCAATATTGTTATGCGTCAAAGCCATTCGACGGTCATAGGGCACAGACTCTAAGGGCAGATGAAATTTTGCATAGAAACACGATGGGATTACTTGTCGGATATCACACTTCGTCACCTTGTGTTTCAGAATGACGATCCAGGCCAACTGTCCGATGAACCTGCAGGACTTTCCCATGGACACCCAAAGATGTCCACTGCACTTTGGAAGCTGTAAGTAAAATGCATCGAAACGAGCAAGCGAGCAGCTCAAATCCCCGGCAAGATGACATGTCCTTGGTTGACATGTTTAAATATCTTTTTTTATTCAACCGATGCCCGAGAGATGTTAGCCTGATTTACACGAGAGCAAGACATGACCAGATAGTAGGTGAGATGAAAAATTACATGGTGATCGAGGAAAAAAATGCATTTGAGGCCTTTATGTATCTATGCATGTATTTAGTGCTTTTATTAGTTTGGATGAGTTCATGTCTTTTCCATGCTCCCTAACAATGGCATGTGTATGTCTTTGACGGATTACCTAACGGGCCCCCTATCTTCCACTGTGACTGCACCGTTCGCCGCTGGTCCAGTCGGCTACACGGAGCAGGACGTGCTCTACCGATGGACAGAGAGCCGCCGAGAGGTGACCATCTCCCAGGACCTGGAGCTCTCCCAGTTTGACCTGATCCGCACTCCCGCCGGCGAGAGGACCGACCACAACACGCGCGGTGAGACTCGGCTGGTGGGCTGGTGGTGTAGTGGCTAAGACCGGATGAAAAGAGAGGTCGGTAAGGCAGACTGCATGAATGCTAAGCTGGAGAGATGATGCTCAAAATTAGTGATCAATGCTTTGCTGATGCGCATGTATCGTATAGGTACAGGTCCGAACGATTACCATGACTACTTATTGATTTTCATGATCATTCCAGTAATTCATCGTTCCCAGTTCCCACACTTGTCAAGAGCTCGGTTGAATCGTCGAGCTATGCGGTACAGTCTATGTGCAGGCGTTACGGCTCCTGCCATCTATTGAGCGGTAGCGCAACCTACCGCTAGTGCTGTGCGGTGCAGTCTGCCTACAGGCGTTACTGCCGCTGCCATCTATTGAGTAGTACAGCAGCCTCTGCTAGTGCCGTGCGGTACAGTCTACCTACAGGCGCTACTGCTGCTGACATCTGTTGAGCGGCAGAGCAACCATTGCAGCCCATTCTCTGTGGCTTCCTATTCCTTCGCTCAGACCTTCTAACCGGGTTTATTACGCCCACAGGCAACTTCTCACAGCTGTGGGTGAGCTTCCACCTTCGACGTCACATGGGCAACTTCATGATCCAGGTGTACGGGCCGAGCGTTCTGCTGGTGGTGCTGTCGTGGGTCTCCTTTTGGCTCAACCGGGAGGCCACTGCCGACAGAATCTCACTTGGTGAGTGCTGGGAGACACAGAGTCTCGCTTTTGACATTGATACACTAACTGTACCAATGTATAAGTTTAGAAATTGTTGTATTTTTGAAACTTCTTTGACATATTGTAATCTGTATTCATGCCAATCGTCGTAATTATGCATATTTGATTCTGCTTTATCCTCGAAGTGTTGCGCAATGTTTAACAAGGATTCGTGCATCAATGACTGCTGGCCCTTCTGTGACATGTGCTGGGTCCGCGGCAGGGGTCACCACGGTGCTCACCATGACCTTCCTGGGTCTGGAGGCCCGCACCGATCTGCCCAAGGTGCCCTACTCGACGGCCCTGGACCTCTTCCTCTGGATAGCCTACGGATTCATATTCGCCAGCATTGTGCAGGTGATATTTTTTTACAGTAATAAAAAACCAACAAGCCATCGGTACTCTGTGTATTGGGTAGTCGTGTAAAGACATACCAGCATGTATGTTACAAGATGCCACACTTTTATTGTAATTGACGTCCTAAATGGACGAGAGAGGAACGTCGTGAAGAGCTTAAGCACGCCGCAAAAAAGTTTTGCCTGGCTATCATCGCACGCTGAGTTTGAATCATGATCATGCAAATGAATTTTGGTCGCAGTAATATCCAAAACGTTCAGTTTTATTTCTTACCTTACAGCTTCCATTCGAATCCACTGACATGGGAGGCGCCTCTCCCTGCTTTTCCCCAGTTCGCCTTTGTGCACTTTTTCACGAAGTACGGCTACGGCGAGGTGTACTTTCCTCAGCCACAGTCGTCCTCGGAGGATTCAGACGATGAGTCCTCAGAGTCTGAGGAAGAAGTGCATGAGGAGTCTCCCAATGAGCGGGTAATTATGTAACAGTGGCCAATGTTTGACAATTTGATGAACTTGCTCTATAGACGTGCGTTATAAATCATGCAGCATATTGTCTCAAAGAAACATTGATTTCTTGTTTGGTGCCCACATTATCAAGAGCGCTACTGATAGCTGAAAACTGACGGACCATGGATTATAATTGATTGGCGACCGTTTAGGTATCTTGACGACTGTACGACCACTGTCCAGTGATAAGCTCCTCCCTCCCTCTGCCGGCAGACGGCTCTGTACTCGGACCACAGCCCTCTCACCGTCTCCGACCCGTCTCCGCACGGGCCGGCCCTCTACATCGACCTGAGCCCCCAGCGGGCGCTGCCCCGACCTCCGCCCTGCCACCTGGCGGCTGCAGTGCTGCCGCCCAGCGGCCGGCGGAGGAAGCTCGGCCCGCGGCGGCGGCGCCGGCAGCGAAGACCTCGGCCGGACTCCCCGGCGACGGGCTCAATGCCGACTCAGTTCAACTCTGTGTCAAAGATAGACCGCAGTAGTCGGGTGCTGTTTCCGGCCGTGTTTCTGGCGGTGAACACGGTGTACTGGTACGCGTACCTCAGTCACAGCGGTAGACTGCAGGTGGTTGAAGCGCTGGAGAGGAGTGGGGAGGTCACCGGACCGCGCTGAGGGGTGGAGGGGGGAGGCTGCCACGCCGAAGAAATGCTTATATTGGTTGTGGGGGAGGTACTGGTTTGTTTATTTATGCATGACCCGCTACCCATGAGTGTCAAAACGCGCGATGGAAAGGTCTGGGATAGATCTGTCCTGATCTTGAGACATGTAGGTAAATGGGAGAAGACGGAAGGAAGGTCGGGACTCGGGATGGTTTTTCTTTCGAGCTACAAAATGGTCCAACACAAAACAGATTAAGATTGCATATTTGGTCACCGAAACGAGTGAATGTGATCAATTTGTGTAGTTCATCGTACACCCCTAGTAACATTGCAGGCCAGTGTCCACCTAACCAGGGCTGCGGAGCCGATGGATTTTCGGCGACTCCGACTCCGACTCCGGCTTTCAAAAACCAGCTCCGACTGCGACTCCGACTCCGGGCAGAATTGTCGACTCCGACCGACTCCAACTCCCGACTCCGACTCCGCAGACCTAGCAGGGCTGCGGAGTCGACAGATTTTCGGTGACTCCGACTCCGACTCCGGCTCGGGTTTCTAAAATCGACTCCGACTCCGACTCCGGTCACAACTGTCGACTCCGGCCGACTCCGACTCCGACTCCGACTCCGCAGCCCTGCACCTAACGCATCATTTTGCCTGTATGGTGTAAAATGTGCATGACTACTTATAGTGTGACAGCTCTATCAACGTCCGACGAGGGAGCGGTGCACTTTAACTCTGCCACAGTATGAAAGCCCAAATAAAAGCAGTTCACCCCCGTAAGGTTAAATCCTGACGAGTCGTTCGCCTCCCTGTGGTGTCTCCCACCTCTATCAGCATGCAATCAGTTCCCTTCCTCGCCAACCGGTGACTCACTGAGGCGAGGCAGTGAGATGAATTACTGTTGATAGGCGAGTTCTCTGGGTCCCTTTGATAAGATAGTGTATCATGTTTGCTCCTGTGACCCAGTCAGCGCAATGCTGCATGAAATCCGCCATGCAATGCCGGTTGTTGACAATAAAGTCTGCGAAATGAAGTGCTTGAAAGATAAGGTGCTTCCACCGACGCTCGATGAGTTCACAGTAGCACGAGAGCCGCTGTAGTTTTACTTTTGTGAGACTTTCAGCTCTAACTAAGGCTACAGGCAGCGTGGAATTCGACGAGTCGCATGTTGTGGATTGGTAATCTGAGTAAATCCTGCACAATTCATCACAAACAGCATCTCAATGCGGGAATAGGATATATATTTGCACTATCACAAGTACGCAGCTGGCATGAACTAGAATATACGCCGGCTGGCGGCGAAGACGAAGACAGCTGCGATCGTTCAACGTCCACACACCAGGCGGCCTGACAGTCCTGTCGCCGGTAAGCTCCTGCGCCGACATCAGGGCCCCACGCACATCCAACAGTTATTCGCTCGTCGTCAATATAAGTTAGAGAATAAATCGGCGCAGCGCACGCCGGCACATGCTAATACGATTGGTGCCCGTACTACCGTAACTGAGCACTGACAAGGGCTGGTCGACCGCCAGCGTTATATGACACATCACATACAGCATAATTGATGTCCGAGGCCCGGCCTGGGTCCGTCAACATAACTGAGCATATTTGCGTTCGTACGCCATCTGCACTTACAACACCACAACGAGCCTCGAACGCGCGCCCGAGCGGATATTCGAGAGCCCTCGAGAGCCGCGCACCGGTGCGCGCAACGACGGATGAGCGTAGACATCCACGCGAGGAGAGAGAAGTATAGTAACAGTCCGACGGGTTTGCATATCGCTCACTAGACTGCCGGTGGAGCCAACGCCACCAAACGTCGAACAGACACCGGTCCTGTCCCGGCCCGGGAACGCACAGAGAATAAAGACGCAAACTTGCACCGCGGCATCACCGGGGTTGTGTGGCTGCTAGAATCAGCCACTGGTGTTGCCGGGTTCAGTTCGGTACCATTGCCCGCTGGCGTTCTGACTAATATATGGTCGGGAGGGAGGGGGTGGCGACCGTAGCGGCTGTTTCCGCCGGCGCAGCGGACCCGTTATCACACAGTCGGTCGGCCCGGGCACGCTACCCGGGCACCGGGAATGTCCTTACTAGCTGCCGCCGTCTGCCGGCGCCCTCAGCACGAGCTCTCGGCCTGACCGTCGTCAGAGCTGGCGCGGCCCCTCTCCAGGACGACCACCTCCACCTCGCTGGGACATACGCCGTCACTGCGGACTGCGCGGACCCTCAGCGGCGCATCGGCGGCTCGCTCCCCCTCCACCGCCGCTGGCGCTGGCGCTGCCGCCGTCACCGCCGCTGCCGTCACCACCACCGGCGCGGCGGGAGGTGAGGCAGGCGGTGCCTCCGACCACTCATCGGCCGACTCAGACTCCGGCTCGGGGTCATGGCTCTCCAGGCGCAGCCTCTGGGCTCCGAGCGGCCGGGCGGCAGCCAGTAGCTGCTCTGCCGCTGCCCCGTCCGTCTCCCGAACTCCGCCCTGGCGGCGCCTCGCTCCCTCTCCCTGCTCCTCCTGCTCTCTCTCGGCCTCTAGACGGGCCGCCTCTCGGTCTGCCGCCTCCAGGGCCGGTGCCAGCGCCAGCAGCCGGCGCGTCAGCTCGGCACCGGCCACGGTCGGCAGCTCGGGCTCCTCTCCCTCCTCTGCTGTGGCATCCAACTGCTCACCGGGCGGGTAAAGATCCGCCATAGCCGCCAGCTGCTCCGCCGACCACTCCACATCGGCGTCACAGTAGAAATGTTGGTCACCAGGCAGCATCATGCTCTCGGTTCGCTGGCAGGTGCCGGTGCGACAGTTCTGCAGGTACAGGTCCGGCAGCGTCTCCAGCAGTTTGTTCAGCGTCTTCTGCTGGTACTTGTAGGTCTCGCGCAATCGCACGCGCTGGTGGGCGCTGAACTTGCGGATTCGGTTCCGCTGAAAGATGTAGTTCTCGTGGACACGGTTCATTTGGCCGAGAGAATAGTCGCGAACCCGGCGTACCTGGGGGGCGAGGACGCCGGTCAGGGTGCGAGGAGTAGCGACGCCTAGCGGCAGCTGGAAGAACCTCCAGCTGGGTCCAGCTGCGATACGGAAACTCCCATCCTGCAGGGCTAGAAACTGTAGGTCGACAACGTTCCAAAATGATGTCATTTTGGTGTTGGTTTACCTGGTTACTTTTATCTTTTACCATATTTGGAAAACACTGAGGCTTCCTTGATACCTACTGTTTGACAGGGAAAGCCACGAAGAGATATAATAGAGCAGCTATGCAACGGTATGCCAATAAATATGGAGTCCATGGAGTTTGTTGCAGAAACCTGGAAAGTGCTTCTGCAATTCAGCTTGCAAAGGCCTTGAAAATAATTGTTATAGAAAGACGAGGAAGACAGGCGATCGAGGCGAACCACTGTAGACACCGATACATACTGAAGCGAATCAACGTAATGGAATTGAAACTCGACTGAACTCGAACAGGGTGAGGTGAGATTATCTCACTGACGTTTTACCGGACATATAATAAGTAAGACATCATGCACAAAACTATCAAACAAAGGGAAAACCGTGATGATTCAAAGGCTTATAACGTTCACAATCACAACGATCAGCTGATTCGACGAAATCAGTTCCTGATTCCAACGAAGTTCCTGATTCGTTGAAATCAGGAACTTGTTTTGCTGAATATCACATACATCACAGTGCTAAGCCGCATTAGTGCAAGCAGCATGACCGTCATTGAACAGGAAGACACGGGTGAGCCGGCACTGAATCCCAGAACTGAGTCAGCTTCAAGGGAAATATTCCGAACTGCTACAAGTTACAGCTGTATGCCACTCAATCAGCAGTCAGCACACCGCATTGCAACCCATAAGACTCATCCGGTGCACGGCTCTTCAAAGCCATCTCTCTTAGACCTTCTCCTCATCTATCCCGAATTGTCTCCCATCACATATTCCCCTTTACGCACCGTCAAACCCCGTCCCTCACCTACCTTCTCCCCTCTCCCGCCCCTTCTCTCCCCATCACTCACCTGATCCAGGTACTGCTCCCTGAATCCCTCGATCTGCTGCGCGCCGTAGTCACGCATGTCGCTCACGTAGCGCGCCTGGCCCTTGTAGGTGTCGCGGATGCGCTCCACTTGCTGGTAGCAGCTGTCCTTGATGCCGGCCACCTGCTGATTGTAGCTCTCCCGCAGGCTGGCCAGCTGCAGGGCGCGCCACTGCTCCATCGAGTCCACCATGCCCTTGATTTTGGCCCGCGGCGGCAGCTCGTCAGTGCAGCAGATGCAGCAGCCGCACCTGGGGAGGCCGGGGAGAGGGAGGTTAGGTCACCGTCAGATGACGGGCAAGGTCAGGACAGGGACACCCGTCCGTCGTTTCCATCCTGACGACATTCCAATCCTTCTTCTCCATGCCGCAACCCTCGGTACGGGCTTTACAGGCAACTTTATCGCATGCGGGCTGCTCCCTTGGAGTGCACCGCAGCTCCCGAGGGAGTACACCCGTAGCCGGGTGCAGAGAGTACCTTGGGGCTGGGTGGCCTGTCCTTTTGGACGGGCTCAACCCCGGCGACTCTCTAGGGTGCCTGCCCAGACCAATGTCTCCCCCTAATTCCTATCATCCTCTCGGCTCTGAAATGGTCTTGTCAGACTGAAAGGGCCTAACCCAACAAAACAAACAGCACATGGATTATCAGAGCAGTCAACGTGCCGACTGAGAATCAAATATACGAGGCTTCATGTCAGGTCAATTCAGATTTTAGTTGCAGCTACAAGCTAAATGTCAGCAGTTCGACAGAGATATTCAAGTTATTTGATAACATCTGTCTTAGAGATGTCAATCGGATAACAACTTTTCGGTATACCGATACCAAACCGATACCAACTTGGTATTTGGCATTTCAAGGCGAATGCATTTGGTATTTTGTTGGTATCGTGAATCCTTACTTACAGGAGGCTGAGAAGGCTATGTAAAGGAGGCTGATATTTTGGTAAAAACTTGGTATTTTCCTCATATTCCCAAGTCGGGTCGGTTTCGGTATTTTTCCA